ACCCATCCAGGTATTCGAACTACTGTCAAACTCGTAACTAGTAGGTTTTGCTGGCCTGGTATTAACAAGGAAGTAAGGGAATGGGCACAGACGTGCTTAGCTTGCCAAAAGTGCAAGGTAATACGACACACTAAAAGCCCCCTTGGCACTTTTCTTATCCCTGATGCCCGTTTCGAACACGTCCATATAGATTTAGTTGGCCCCCTTCCAGAATCTCATGGATACACCTATATGTTAACCTGCATCGATCGCTTCACACGATGGCCTGAAGCAGTACCCATCAAGGATATATCTGCTGAAACTGTCGCACGCGTCTTTGTAGAGAGATGGATCGCAAACTTTGGATGCCCATCTTCCATAACAACTGATCGTGGGCGGCAATTCGAAAGCGGTTTATTCTTCGCTTTGACTAAAATCCTCGGTTGCATGCGTTTTCGAACGACAGCCTACCATCCTCAAGCGAATGGTATGGTAGAACGTCTGCACAGACAGTTGAAAGCTGGTTTATCAGCTGCAAATAACACCCACTGGACTGAATCCCTTCCGTTAGTTCTCCTAGGGATACGAAACGCCTTAAAAACCGATGCTGGTTGTACTACCTCTGAGCTAGTATATGGCACAACACTACGACTGCCAGGTGAGTTTGTTTCTCCCTCGAGCTTCCCACCAGTGGTAGATCACTCCTCATACGTCAGCAGGCTTACAAACGCTATGCGTTCAGTTAAACCTGCTCCCCTCCGACCACAGTCCATTGATGTTTTTGTTCACCCTTGTTTAAAAACTTCTTCACACGTATTTGTTCGTCGCGACTCGGTACGTCGTCCTCTAGAACCCCCATATGACGGACCATATAAAGTGATTAAACGTACTGATAAATTCTTCGTTTTAGACAAAAAAGGCCGCGAAGACACCGTCAGTATCGACCGTCTGAAACCGGCTTACTTGGAAGGTAATCCTATTAGCCTGGAGCTTAACGTACCCGATAATTCACAAGTAATTGAATCTACTTCAGTCTTCGAAGAACTCCCTAGCACGGCGAAAGCCACTGAACCTTCGGTCGATCACTCTAAAAAAACGCGTTCTGGACGTCACGTTAGATTCCCAGAATACCTTCACACCTATCTCACATAACTGAGTGACACATCAATTTTTTTTTATGTTGCGTCATTTAACACAAGTAAATGATATTTTTCCTATAACCGTACATAAAATTATATAAGATGTATATTTTTTTTTCCCGATATTTTGAACTTTACATTATTTTACTGTATAGTAGATGCATGTCAATTTTTTTTTAAAAAAACGCTTATTTGGTACATTTTTCTCGACAAGGTTCTCAGCATTCTTGTTTTCTTTTCCAGGTGCAACGGGCACTGGACAGGAAACAAACGAAGCACGGGATCCAACGAACAACACTGAGGAAGCTATGTACAGACACCCTATTAGCATAGGCAGACAGACCAGCAGGCTCTCGATCAAGCCGCTCGGAAGATTTTTTTCACCCATCAGGGAACCATCGAGATATTTTTACTTCCGGCTGGTCATGTCTTAGGGTCCTCACAAACCCACTAGGGGGGGAGTGAGCTGTAGCGGCAAATAATTCCCCAAAATTATTAACCACAGCAATCATCACTCAACATTGGATGCTGACCATCACTGTTTAAGTCGACTTGTTTAGCTGAAGGCTTACGGTCAAGCATCCCCGCCATTTGGTGCTCCGTCGTGTCACGTGCGTGCACGATTACTAGCTAGCAAAGCATTCATTCCTACCCGCGATTTGGTCCCAAAATATATATCGTATTTGGACGACAAAATCTGGTCTTTTGCTTTACCATTTGGTACTCGAAGAACGAACACTATAGTGGTTGTTGGTATAAGATCTTGCGTTAGTATAATCCGTACAACTCGCGAACGTTCGATACCTTCAATCTCTAAACAATGTTCTGTCCCACAGAGTCGAAAAGCTGCATCATATGAATAAACTGATTTGTGCATTGCCCAGGCGTAGACATAAATGCTGGAACATGTTTGCCACGCTTCAGAATTATGAGGCCAGCAAGTTGCACTCCGCTACTAGAAATAAAAAATTGTAGGAATTCGTCAACCACGGATGAAGTTAGAAATGCACCTAGAGGAAATACCACTCTCATCAGTTTTGGTCAGTGTAGATCTAGATGTCCTGGTAGTCATGACCCAAAAACTACGTTGAAGTGCAGTACTGTGGCAGCTCGATGTCTCAGAACACTATGAGCAACACACAGAGCATTCACTAAAATTGCCGGTGATATGTTCGCTTCTTTATATACATTTGTGGGTGATTAAAACTGGAAACCTGCATCCACACAGCAACCCCGTATCTTAATGGGTACTCATACATTTTAGGAAGATTTCAAAGGAAAGCAACGCGTATGATTCGTGGTATAGCAAATTCTCAATACGAGGAGAGGCTTTCCAATTTGAATGTCTACTCTTTGTAATGGCGTAGTCGGAGAGATTTCATGTTTGAAAATCTAATAAATGACTATAGACCTGATTTATCTTCTGTTTTCCTTCCCAACAAGTGGAAGCATCACAAAGTACATAGTAGGAGAGTTCAGAAGTCAGGGAGGAACTATATTACCATGGAACACTTGTTCTACCACCAAGTCATAAAGTCTTGGAACCTACTCCCAGAAGAAGTGGAGTCAGTACCTACAAATGAACTATTCAGGAAGTTTTTAAACTAACACAGAAACCTATTACAAAAGGATGAATGTAGATTTTAAGCCCTTTATCCTCAGTCAATTAAATCTATTATATCTGAACCTCCCAATTGAAGGTCATGCATAAGCGGCTGCTTAAAAATGCGTCTTCGACTGAAATTTCTGAACAAATTTCATGTTTACGAGACAGCTGTAGCTGACCCAACAGTCATAGAGCTTTTGGAGTGCGCTTCCAAAATTTTTGGCTTGAGGAAGTAAGTTTAGATTATTCGTCATACAGCCTGGGGTTAAGATTATTTATTAACTCGTAGTTTTACTACCAACCATTCCCCTTTGTTTTACTTTTCTGACTACTCTATCTATTTATTCACTTATATCATTAATTTCAGATTTCACAATCTATCTGTTAACAGATAAGTATAAATTTGTACGTTTTCTTTTTTCTAAGTCCACATAATCTAAAGTAATAATATATAATACTGATAATAGATAATGATGGTAATTACTGTCTTGGGATAGTAATAATAAAAAAGAGATCTCTTTTCTACCACACCAGACGACTAATGAATTGAAGGATCAACTCCATTCTCAGTAAAGACATAGTTTTAACCTATCGCATATTACAATATACATAAAGCAATCCCAGCACCGCTTCTCTTAGAGTCGACCAAAGCGGTAACAGTCGAGTAGTGGGATGAACCACGCAGAAGTCTGCCGGAGAACAGGGGCCTTTACCTTTCAACAAAATAACGGGCCCAAAAAGATCAATTTGGTTTACACTACCTTGAGAAATGGTATTGGATATTTGAAAATACTTATGGATATAATTAATGCTTCGTCACTTTTTAAAAACCGTAGTATGCTTAACAGTTTGCCTACATCCGGCTATTGTTCACCCGAACGGAAGAGAAGTCGTGGCATCTATTGTATATCAGTGTGTGCAAATATCCAATTTTCCTTTATTCCTTTTCGTTACAAGCGGAACACAGAGTTTCAAGAGTGAGCTTTGAAGTCTCATTAGCAGTGAAGTTATTTTTGCTTGACGGAGTTGTTAGCCTGACGCCCGTAGCCATCTATTTATACGTCTTTATAAAGTCTCCTGTTGACCCACTGAGATTGTTCATGCACCGGGTGTCCGTCTTTCGAAGTTATGGATGACTATTCATGTGTGCAGGATTATGTCTGTCATTTTCAATAGTATGCTGTTAAAATTTTAAGTTATTTGGAAGGCGGAATATCAGGGGAAATGCTTATATATTGTTTTGAAAGCTTTCCATTTCCACTACATTAACCTGCCACAAAAAAAACCCCAGATTTTTTATTCGAGGAGGATTCCATGAAATATATTTCTATTTTGAGAGTATGAAGTTTTCTTTGATATCATTTCTTCTTCATGAAGTTTGTGATTCAGGTGTTATTTTCATGTCACTTATTTCTGCATCCCGTGTACATTCAAATCAATCCCCTCGGTAAAGTAATCAGTTATCTTTGGTAGTTTCCGGAGCATTTGTATTAAGACGCAAATATACCCAATTTTCTTCAAATTATCACTATTTTAATATATGTATAAAACTTGGGCACTGTGGTAGTAAGTAATTCCATATTAGTTTGTTTATTAGGTATATCACACAGTGAAACAGTATTATTTACTGGATACTGTTTCACTGTGTGATATACCTAATAAACAAACTAATATGGTATCACTATTTTATCTTGCAGAAACACAGCTTAAGAAAACTCCTACTCCGTATTTAAGTAAGATGCCGAAATTTCAAGGGATGTTACTTTTCAGTCAATCTATAGCATCTCCCTGTAAGATAATAATGGATATCCTAGCCAAAATAGATAAAATGTCTAAGCCAATAAAATAAGTACTATAACTAAATTTGGTAAATTATAAAAATATTGACAAGGCGCGTCAAAAGTCTCACTTGAGAAAGTCTATCCAACTCCTCAAAATATAAAGTGTAGAAGTTGTTAAGTATATTTGATATTCCTGTCCTAATGGAATTAGTTTTGCTTACACTCAGTCTCTCGTCGCTGGCTTCAAATAAATTTAAGATGGATTCGATGAAAAGTCTTGGATATAATTGAAAGACCGTTGTTCCTGTCGAGGTATATAAATGACGAATCATTCTCCTCACTAATGTGGGATGAGTGTATTTTTGCTATGTCAGCTAATGTCATACTAAGATTATAAGTTTCCAGACCGTAGATGCTACGAACTTCTTGGAATAATTTGAGCGCCGAGTCAGATTGATTCAATATAAATTATTTAAATTAATCCCAGCGTGTTTAAGAAAAAATCAAAACAAGTTCTGTTTTCTGAACGTTTCGCCATGTTAAGCCACAGCTTCTTCGGCAGAATTATTCGGATTTTATTAATCATCAAAACATATAGTCAAAATGTTTTACATAAATTGAAGTCAGTTTATTTGAAGGTCATTTGTCCATGGACATTTTTACCAATAGAAAACATGTAAGCAGTCATCATATATTTGTAATGACTAATGTCAAATTGTTATTGTGTATATTTTTTGTATGAGTGTGTGTAAGTGTATGTTATTTGTCATATGGAAAACACGTCAATTCACATGTGATAAACATGATAATACATTTTTTAAAGGTCATGGAGGTTCATAGAGGTTTTTGTTGTTTTTTCATCTGTCTTGCTTCATTAGTTTGCCATATAGGAGATAAGTCTATCCCTACTTTCCTATTTACTGCATTCGATGTGGCTAAAATGTGCAAGACTTCAGAGGGAATAAAATTCACATTTGAAGCCGAAAATGAGCAAGGAGAATTAGCTATGTTAGATTGTAAAATAAAACGAATAGAAGTAGGCAAACTACACACTAGTGTTTATAAAAAACCAACGCATTCTAATAGATATTTAGACTTTAATTCATCTCATCCTTTAACTGTTAAGGCAGGCTTAGTTAAGTGTCTAACAAACCGAGCAATGGCACTAAGTAGCACAAAAAAAAGACCTAAATGATGAAATAAAACAGATAGAAGAGGCGTTGGTGTTAAATAACTATCCTCTAAAATTCATTAGGAAGATTAAAAAAGGCCAAAATGAAAATAATTGTGAAACTAGTAATAATAACATAAATAAGAGAGAATATAAGTCATCTACAGTTATACCATATAAAGAGGGGACATCTGAGACCCTACGTAGGATTCTGAATAAGGCAGGAATTAGAGTGGCATTTAAACCTACAAACTCACTCAGGGACAAGCTCTGTAGGTTAAAGGACCCAGTTGACCCAATTAGACGAAATAATATAATTTACAAAATACGCTGCAATGACTGTGAGGTCAACTACATAGGTCAAACTAGTAGGTCAGGGGTAGTCAAATTATCAGAACATAAGAATTTAGCTAAGGTAAGAATGGTTGAGCCAGAGAAGATAAGTAATTTAGAAAAAAGCTCAGCAATTGCAATGCATGCATTAACACACAACCACACAATAGGGTGAGAGAGGGTTAAAATTCTAAAAAGTAATCTAGGTAGGTGGAGAGAGAGGTTGATTACTGAATCTTTGTTCATCGAATCTACACCCAACACATGCAATAGGAATGAATCATCACTCATACCCGAAATATGGAAAATATTACTACCAATCAAATCAAGTGAAAATCAAGTGAAAAACAATGGAACTATATAAATGAATTTAGGAAGTTGTGTGATTACCTTGATATGATTATGAGCAATAAATCGTGCTCGAAACGTCATCAGTAAATATTACTGTATAACACTGTGAGACTTTATCAAAATAAAATTTACCCATAATGGAGGTCAACCTTTCTTTTTGTGATTGGAATCCTCTTCCAAGAATTTCAACATTGTCACAATCAATCTTATGTCCACTGTCTGTCGCATGCATCGCTATAGCCGATCTTTTCTCTAAACTTCTTAATTCTATTTCATTTCTAGGTGGATGTTTCCTGCATAGTCTATGTTCATTCACTCTGACCTTCACCTGTCTACTGCTCCCCCTATATATAGCAAGTTTCACATTCTGAACAACTAGTCCCATAGACACAATTACTTTGTGACATTTTGGGAACTATATCCTTGACATTCACCAAAGCTTTCTCTAGAAAATTAGAGGGCTTGAAATAGACTTTAATATTATATGAAGCAAGTAGTCTTTGAAGTTGTTCAGCTGTGTCCTGTCGATATGGACAAGTGACCTTCAAATAAACTGACTTCAATTTATGTAAAACATTTTGACTATATATTTTGATGATGAATAAAATCCGAATAATTCTGCTGAAGAGGCTGTAGCTTACACAGCGAAACGTTCGGAAAAATCTTGTTTTATTTTTTTTCTTAAACACGCTGGGACTAATTTCAATAACTTATAATAATGTCATACTGTTCACAGGAGTATATTCTTACTGGGTTGTTGCTCTTAGATTGTATGGTTGTACTCAAACTACACGTAACTTCTACCAATTAATTTTATGCCTTATTGTATACAAAATTGCAATTCCAAGCAGAAGATTAAAGTATAAGTGAATTAATAAAAGAGATACTGATTGCAAAACGAAAGAGATTGTTTCATGAAATAGCATCCATGAAACAACCAAAATTAAAAGTTAAAACTATAGAAGATATTTCTGGGCATCGATTGTACTTCTAACTATGCCTTCAACCTTAAGAATATTATTTCTCTCTTTGTGGTATAACTTCCTTGACAACTTTTTTGCTTCGTTAATATTTTTATTGTTACATTTTTCCTCGAATAAATATGTAAGAGCTTAAATTAATAGACACCTATACCAGATAACAGGTGAATGAATAGTGTAGTCTTAGGTGGCGGTGCACATTTGCGGCTAAGGGTAGACGCATAAAGACTGAAAGTTGTAGTTGTTTTGCATCCGACTGCACAGACAAATGCGCCATACAAAACCCCCTACTTTGCGTGAGGGTTGGAATACTGCCCAGATGCCCAAACCGGAGCAGGTATTTGTCTTAAGGAGTCACGCCATCCTGAGCCTTTGACTTAAAGTCTGATCCACGAGATAGCGGATCAGCGTCAGGAGTTACGTTCCTATGATTTGTGGTAGCCGAAACAGGTTGATACGCTACTCTAAAGCCCATGTTCACTATAGATTTGGAATCAGAGTTTTGCAGCTTCCTTATACTGGGTAGACTTGCATATCCACCAATCCAATTGTAGGCGCTTGATGTTTCCATGCACCCTTTCACTTTTTATGATGAACTCCCTCGCCACATGAAGGCTAGTGAATGGGACTTATCTGTCAGAGTCTATGAGCACGTGTGGTCATGTGAGAGAGCATCTCTCGAGGAAGACTGAAGTCTATCCACTCTTGGCCGTACCAGATCGTTTGTTGATGGCAACTCTAATATGCTTGTTCATCCTTTAAATAACTTCATAGCTTTTATGCACGAAACTTCTGAATAATCCTTTGTCAGATCGTGTGAAACCAGCAGACACTACCTAGAAGTTTAAAATAAGTAACTCGTATTGGTGTGAAATTCAGGGTAGGCAGGATAACAATTCAGTTGTATAACAATACAAGTAAACAAATATGTGATGTATACGCACAAGATGAAAGGTCATACGTCAAAAGTGCGACAGTACGATATTTATGAATGTATAGATTTCACAACAATCCAGGGGGTAGCAATATTAGCTTGGCCTTTCGCTTTTGCTCAGTTGTTTTAAGCAAATTGCAATAACCTCTGATGTTTGGAATATTCAGCAACTAGAGGCTATTGGCAGCTTTTTCAGTACCGGATACATGATTAAAAACATATCCTTTAATGTTAACTGTACAGCCTGTTTGGGTGAGATAGTCCTATGTCGAACTGTTGGTGGTTTTTACTAATACAACACCTTTATTTAGCCACACACTGACAAGTGTTCCTGAGCACAAAGAGCTAAGTTCCTGGAGCAACAACGGCTAGTATAACTGGCTGCATAGGAGTAGCTGAATTGGCTAGCCTAATTACTTCATTTTTAAGTTGGGGATTCACAATCGGTCGTTTGGAAAATATGAGCTACAGCTTATGGGTATTAAAAGCTCTTTGAGTCGATTTGGTCACTTGGTAGTTCTTTCATACTTTCGTGGTTATGCGTTTCATCATGAACTTTCACCGATAGCTATTTTCATTTAAGATGTTATATTATATTTTATTTATTCTATTCGTTTCCGAGTAGAATATAGGACTTCAAGCTAGGGCTTTGAAGTTTCAGTAGCAGTGGTGTTTATTTTTGTTACGGGTTGGGGTTGCTAGCTTCACGGTAACCCAACCTTCCCTCTTTGTCGTCTTTGCCACCTGCTTAGTGAGGTGTTTTAGGAGTCCGTCGACCGAGGATCGGACCCCGGACCACGTGTGGCGTGGTTGGCGAGCGTTCTACCGCCGAACCACGACACACACACGAGTTGTCATATATATTCATAAATTCATCTTCAATGACATCTGAACATAGAACTCTGGCCCTGTAGCTGAGGGTTCTTATCAAATTTCTTTTGTACTCGACAGAAATGAAACTATAAAAATATATGTATTGTCCTCTCCATATATTTTTCTAATGGGAATTTCTTTTTATACTCCCATCTGGTCTTTTGGTAAGAAGGACATTTAAGAAGGCGATTCTCCGTTGAGATTCTTTCGCACATATCGATTTTATAGCTGGATGGATTTCATTGAGCTGAGCAATTATTGCGAGTCTATTTAAGTTCTCTTCACAAAGGATGAATGTATCATCCGTATGTCGGCAATAAAATAAAAATTTTCTGATAATATCGTCTAAATGACCTTTTTTTCAAGTTATATAGTTCTTTGTTAAACTAATCAGTGCACACAAAATGTAATGGCTACTCCAAAGCCACTTATAAAGAAGTAATCATTTATGAGACGTCTTACATTCTTGAGAGGAACTCACGATGACAAGAAGGCTCGAAATTCATGGAAAAGTACCAATATTTTTCATACTTTCCCTTCTGTTTATAGAAAAGTAAAATTGATAGGCTCATAGGATCTTTTAACCGACAAAGTTTATTTCTAATTCTACTACCCCTACGACGGCGAATAGGAAAGAATAAAGAAAACTATAAAAGTCAAGTTTCAAAGTTGTGTGATTATAATTGTTGCTATGATTATGAACAATAATAAATTGTGTTCGAAACTGTGTCGTCCAGTAAATAATAATAATGCTGTTTCACTCACTGTGAGTGATATATCTAATAAACAAATTAATATGGAATTACTTACTGCCACAGTGCCCAAGTTTTACACATACTGTTTACACATATTGTTCGCTTGTATGTCTTGTTCTAATGTATATGTATTACAATCTACTTAGATTTTCTTTATTTCGCACGTTAATTTTTGTTTTGTTTTGTATTTTAATCTTTAGAGATAATGTTCAGATTAGTTTAAACGCTAAAGATTTCTATGATTCAAGTGATTCACATCCACGTCTACTGTCTGAACTTGGCGTTGTCAATGGTGACATTATATACATTCGTTCATTGGAAAAGTTAGATGATATTAAAAAGTCATTAGAAGCTGAAGTATGTTATATTTATTCTATTCATCATCATCATCATCATCCTAAAAAAATCAATAAATAGTTAGCTGATCCCATATTTCGATTAGCAAATGAATTGATTACTTCACAACAGTACTCCTCGATTTACTTTCTAGCTATACCACTTTATGTATTTGCAATTGACAAAGGATTGAATGTAAGTCGTCTCTGTTTTGTGTTTTTTCTTGCCTTGAGCATTTTATCCTCCTTTCTTTCCCTTAGAGTGTAGATAGCATAAATGAACATTATCATCAAAGATATGTAACAACAATTATCCGATTGGTATTCAATTATCCTCATGTACCTAACAGAGTGGTATTCAGTTTATATCAAAATGGAAATTTATCTATTATTACAGGTAGATTTAAATTAAATATTCGTCTTTTTTTAAAAGAAAAAAACAACAAGAAAATATATTTGTTTAAATTTGTAGTTTTGTATTTCCCTCCTGACGAAAAGCGATAAGCTGACAGGCAGCCAAAGACAGAACTTTAAGTGAACATCTAGAGCGGACGGAGGTGATGAAAATAACCAACAAGCACCAATCGCTATCCGTTCACTTATCTAGGAAACATCCTTTCATCTACAGGTGGATAGCACGGGTGGGGATATCAATGCTTACCAGGATTGGGAAAGGAAAGCGAACCTTCATTACTCTGAAACCAGTCTGGAAATCTGTCCCTTCTTATAGTATTCTTAGTTATGATTCTGAAGTCCGGCAGCGTATGTTTGGACACTGTTTGGAGATCACTGTCTATTGAGTGTTGTCATCTGCAAACACTGGCTCCGATGGCTTAGCGGACATGTGCTACGCATGTCAAATCCCAGAGGATTCCGTACCGGTCTCTGTTTGCTAGCCCTAGGACGGGATGGAAAAAGCAGAGAGCAGAAAAAGCAGCCCATGTATTGGTGTTGTCGTGGGATGAAGTGTCGGTTGGTACATCACGATTCCGTGACTGGGATTCAAGAGATAGCCTCGAGCCTAGGCGGTGGCTCGAAATGTTATTGGATATGGCCGAGAATCACAATCATCAATGGCGAATGTGCTGACACAGTAATTCAACGAATGCTGTTTGGTCTTGGTAAATATAACTGCTTCCCTTCCAGATGAAGTCCTTTAATTCATTCTCTATCTATTTTTTCCCGTATGTTTTTTTATTATATTTGTGTGGCGCATCTTCTGGACTATACCGAACTATACCAGGTTTTGCGCATAGCATATTATAGTACTGTCTGAAGATGTAATTTACTGAAGCTTCATATCCTTAAAACCGTTAGATAGCACATTCTAGCGTATAACTTTATTTATTCATAAGTGATGGACAGAGAAGTGTCTTCACTCTACTGTTTATATCCCCCATAAATGACATGGTTACGGCCGATAGTGGATAGACACCAGTCTTCCTCTCAAAAAGTTTTCATGTAGCTATGCATTCATAACCTCTACCAGTGTTAAGTCGTGTTCATCACCTTCACGAGGCCTGGAAGTGTACCTCACCAAGTCTACCTAGGGATGCTGAAAAGCCCTAATTCCAAAGCTATGTCGTGTACATGGGCTACAGAATCCAAAAAGATTGAATAGTCACTGGTAACCATGGGGACACTGCCCCACAGTGCCTTGTAGATTCGATTTCAAGTCAAAGACCCAAGGGTCGGTCCCTTAAAACAACCACCTAACTTTAGTCTATCCGTTGGGGCAGTTAATACCTCAGCTCTTGCATAAATCATCGAACAACTAAATGCTACAAATACTACTACTGTGGTGAGAGCCGTCTGCGAACAAGCCAAAACTGTCGACAACAATTTACCTCAATGTGTACGTCCCGAATCGGGGTCATGAGATAAAACAAGAACAAAGCCTAATCTTGAGGAACTCACACCAGCCAATCACAGCAGACTTGACGTGTGCAAATACGATTCGCAGATAGATGGCTTAACTTTCTAAGAAACGGTCACAAGTGCAGTACAGAATAACCTTGAGCAAGAGAAGAACCAATCAGAACAGGTTGCTTCTCCGCTAACAATAACGTACATAAAAATCCATAAATATCCTTTGATTTTCTCAATAAACGATCTGTTGCCTGGCCCTTGTCTTCTGTGTATTACTTATCTCTCTATTTATCTTCTTTTGAAGGCAGTGTTCAATCTCTTCCTGTACGAAAACAGCTTATTCTACTGACAAAAGATTATTTGATCAATCAAAGTTTAATAGACCAATGTAAGTTTATACTTTTGCTGAATAATGGTTTCTTTTGCCGCTATTTTTGTTTTTACGAGTTGATCACGGATTGATATCAGTTAGAGAACCATTGAAAACCAGGGAGTACTGGACAGCCAGCTGTTTCATCAGCCTAGTTTCGGAATCATCGGCACTACGCACCCACACTATGTATGGGGTTCCAGCCCAGGACCTTCCGGTTACAAGGCAAGCTGGCTCGTATACCATTCAGCCACTGGGACCCGATTCCTCAATGGCCAGCCCATGAATTCTAACTTCTACCGATTCGTGATGCATTTAGCGCAACTGGTACTAACCAATGTCATCGGTGGGACATCTATCCTCACACTTGACTTCTGGATGGACCTGGAGTTCTAGTGAGAAGTCGTGACCAGTAAGGTCCATCCAGACGTCAAGCTTGCCTTGTAACCGGGAAGTCCTGGGTTCGAACCCCATACATAGTGTGGGTGCGTAGTGCCGATGATTCCCAAACTAGGATGAAACAGCTGTCCAGTACTCCCTGGCAGACTCGTACGTGGCCTGGGATGCGGAATAGCACGTTCAATTCCCGGCCAACATACTCTTGAATCGCGTCTATAGCCGGGTAGTAAGTTAACTCAGTAAAGAGGAAAGTTTGAAGGTGGGACTAACAACTCCATCCTGTAAAAAATAAAGAACGTCACTGCTGATGAAACTTCAAAGTTTAATGGTGGTTTTAAGCTTTATGTCCTAGTGGGAATTCATAGGAATCAAAAAATGAAAATATCTGAGGTATAGAGAAAATATTCATTCAGACTTTTAGAAGACAAAAGAAAATATTTGAGCAAGGAATATTCGTGTCGATTATTTCTTCTTCCCGCTCTACAACATATATATATATATATATATATATATATATATAGAGAGAGAGAGGGAGAGAAAATATTCTAAAATAATGGTCATTAATAATATTGGTGTTTGATTGGTTGGAGGATTTCATTATGAGCTGACATCAGTTAAAGAGAACCATTGGAAACCAACACTGAAGTACTGGGCAGCTATCTGTTTCGTCCCAGTTTTGGACTCTTCACAGTACGCACCCCATCGGAGTTCAGTCCCAGTGGCTTAATGGTCTATGAGCTCGTTAGCCTTGTAACCAGAAGGTCCTGGGTTCGAACCCTGGTGCCCGGGGGTGCGTACTGATGAAGATTCCCAAACTAGGAGGAATCAGCTAGCTGTCCAGTACTCCAGTGTTGGTTTCAAGTGGTTCTCTAACCGATGTCAGCTCCTAACGAAATCCTGGAACCATATATATATCTATATATATATATACTCCTTACTACATTTGTTCATATTGAATTTATTGCAAAGATATGAAATACTACTAATGTGAGTAGGGACGTAAGTAGTATACACTTATGCACTTAGTTACTTAGCTTCTTCATTATGGATAAGATTTTATTTTGATAAATCACACAATGTTGTACTACAGTAATATTCACTGATGACCACCTTTCGAGCACAAACTGTTGCCGCTCATAATCATATCAAGGCACTACTCAAACAACTTTCTTGCTTCATTTATATACATGAGTGAAAATTGATGATTCGACATTTGAATAAAAATCAATATAGGATAATGTACATTCAGAAATAATAATATGAGTGTTATTGATCAAATACAATCAGATGGGAAATAAGACGAGTGTTTTTATAGTCAAAATAGGTAACATCTTATAATGTTATAATGCGAATTGAATACATTTTAAGATTATTTATTATCCTCCTCTGATTTGACTGGTGGTAATAATATCTTCCATGCATATCTCTGGTATTTGCATTGAGTCATTTCTGTTGCATGTGTTGTGTTGGGTGTAGACTCAATGAACCAAACAGGATTCAGTAATCAATCTCTCTCTCTCCACCTACATAGATTACTTCTTAGAATTTTAACCCTCTCCTTCCCAACTTATGGTGTGGTTGTGTGTTAATGCATGTAGTGCTGTTGCTGAGCTTTATTCTAAATTACTTATCTTCTCGGGGTCAACCGTTGTTACCCTAGCCAAATTCTTATGTTCCGCCAATCTGATTACCCCCGACCTACTATTTTGACCTATGTAGTTGACCTAACTCACAGTCATTGCAGGATATTTTGTAAATTACATTATTTTGTTTAATTGGGTCAACCGAAAGGGTCCTTTAGCCTACAGAGTTTGTCCTATCTGAGTGAGTTTGTAGGTTTAAATGCCACTCTAATTCCTTCTTTATTAAGAATCCTACACTCAAATTATTACCAACAGTCAAATCAGAGGAGGATAATTAATCATCTTAAATTGTATTCTATTTCAATTCACGTACATCACAACATTCTAACAAGTTACTTATTTTGACTATAAAATCACTCGTCTTATTTCCCATCTGATTGTAATTGATCAATAACACTCATATTATTATTTCTGAATGTACTTTATCTTATATTGTTGATTTTATTCAAATGTCTAATCATCAATTTTTACTCATGTATATAAATGAAGCAAGAAAGTTGTGTGAGTAGTGCCTTGATATGATTATGAGTGGCAATAAATTATGCTTGAAATGTAGTTATCATTAAACATTACTGTATAACAACACTGTGTGATTTAACAAAATAAAATTTTATCCATGATAGAGTTACACTCTACCACAGTACCCAAGTTTTATACTTATATTTAGCTTATTGTTTACCTATTTTTCTTTCAACTATTATATTAAGCCGTTGCCAGTAAATCAAGCCTTTTATACCGAAGATTACGATTATTAGCTGTACGTATCAAAGATGAATTAATTGAACCTATACTACTGGCATTGCATTCAGGTAAGTGGGAATATTGTATTCTATATTTTGTCTAACACATAACATAAGACGATATCGTCTCACTGTGTGATAAGATGCAGACTGACCAAATCTCACTCAATTGGCTAGCAGTGTCTACAAGTATAGTATGCTGTAAAGTATTATTACAAGATTGACAAGAGCCCCTGTACCTGCACTCATCCTTTAAGTTATCGACAATTTCATGTATCTAGATAGTTGTTTGGGTGCTAGTAGAGGTTTGATACATGAAATCTATAATCGTACATTGGAAGTTAGGGTAACATACGCTAATTTGACCTATCTCTGACACTGTTGTGACGTCATTCTGGATATTAAACGATGGGTTGACAATGATTTGGTGCTGCGCGGAGCTTTGCTTTGGTCTCTCCAAAGTGAGAATGTGTGGTGGTGGTTCTGAGTATTCGGAGTGCTTTTTTCCTGTATTATCTTCGTATAACTAATTCTAAGATCCGACAGTGTGTGCGTGTGTTTCGACACGGTGGAGGTCACCTTTCATTCAGTGTGGTTCATCTTTAAGCACTGGCTTCGATCACTTGAACATGTGCTGCGGATGTCATTCCATGAGCTTTTATAAGACAACACTTGCTATTTATAAGAAACTCTGATTTTACAAATAAGTAACCAAACTGTACTCGCCCTTCCCCTCCTCGTCAGCATACATTGATTTGTGTTTAGGTGTGTGTGTATGTGCGTGTTTAAAAGAATGAATTCAGTCGTATTAAAACAGGAAAATGATTTTAGGCACAAGATTACTCCTTGAAATAAGTTGGTGGATGGTGACTAGCAGTGGAATTTAGGATGCGCATTTCGTCCTACTTGGGACTCGTCAGCCGGATGTCACCTGCATTCCCCCAGTGAGTGATGGTGTTCCTACTGAGGCTCGAACCCAGCACCCATAGTTTTAAGCGTCAGGTTAAATAATCAGACATCGTCAAAGCATCTGTACAAGGAGCCGATATGTCATCCTGAATCCGAGCACTTCGGTTCAATCAATCTGCGGGAAAGTCCAAATTGAATTAGGCAAGATTACCAGTTATATTATATTATTATTATTCTCTTGGGTTCTGAGTGGAAAATAGGGCTCCTTTCAACAACACATCTCCACTTTGTTCTGTTTTCTGCTATCGTCCTCTTCAGCTGAGTCTACGATTGACCATAATCTCTCATCTTCTCCTCATGTGACCTCCTCCATGTCACCCTAGGACGACCCAATCGTCGCTTCCCATTTGGATTCCACTCGAGCGATGGCCTGGCGTGAGATGTCATTCGATGGCCTCCTCAACATGTGCCCGATCCATCTACACTTTCTCCTACATATTTGTTAAGCAATGGGCTCTTGGTTGGTTTGTTCCCATAGTTTCTTGTTGCTTATTCTTTTTGGCCATTTTATCTTCCGTATGGAGCCAGCGAAGGCAGCTGTTTTGAAAGTCTGCAACAGGCTGTTGGAAATCCTTTTCGTGATACTCTGGTCGAGTTTCCGACCCGTATAGAAGAACCGACTTCACTCTGCTGTTGAATAGAATCGGAATCTTGTTCCTTATGCTGGGTGCGGGAGATTTCCAAACTGGTTTCGGGTTTATGAAGGCGTATCTTGCCTTTCCGATTCTGGTCATCTTTGATATCTTCATCCGTTTCGACTGCATGTGGTTGGAACCGTGCTTTCTAGTTGGATAAATGAAAAGGAGAAGTAACCTCTGTTAGATCTCTCCCGTTAATGGTGGTTGCTGCTGTTAGTCGGTTATCTTCATCACCTCCGTCTTCTCTGTGTTTACCTGCAGTCCCTTTTTCGCTGCCTCTTCAACCAGTTTGTTGGTTTTCACCTGCCTTCAAGTCTTCGAGTTTGTGTGACATAAGACATATATCATCCACGCGCGAAATCCAGATCTTCTAGAGTCTTCTTATCGATGGTCTAGTGTATTCCTGACTCTTCGCCCCCAGCAGTCTGACACACAATCCAGTCCACCACAATTAAGAATATCATAGGTGATAGTAGGCAGCCAGGCTTATCTTACTCCTTTATGCACTTCGAACGCCTCTCTGAGTTTTCCGCTGTGGATTACTTGACACGTAGAATCGTCATATAGCCAGTTGCTGAATGAGGTTGATTAAGAATTGGGCAGTGCACGCCGTAGTGTTGAAGTAACTTCCAAATTACTTCTCGGTCTTCGCTCCCTGTCGAAGACCTTTTCGAAGTCGATAAAGTTGAGGTGGGGAGAGGTTTGACTGCCATTCTATGCTTTGTTCTGTGATGACGATGCGTAGAGTTGCAATTCGATCAGCCCATGATTACCCTTTCCTGAATCCAGCCATCTTGTTCCGGTTGGGCTAGCGGAGTTCTGTATCCATTGCATCCTTTATTCTCTCTCCAGGATAAATCTTTCAAACCGCTAGAGAGAAACTTCAACACACAGAAAATATATATGAAAAATACAAAAACTTCAAATAACAACAATCTTATTCTTCATTCGAATCGGAGAGGCGAAATGACGCGGCGGGCTGGTGAAAGCTGGCCTTCGGGAAGTCAGTCAGCCAGCCGATGTGTCTTCTCTCGATGAAAGCAGGAGTAAGAATGTGTAAGATTACCAGTACTACTGTGATGAGAGCTGGCTGCTAGCCAAATTGGTAGACAGTAATTTACGTCAATGTCTCCGTCCCCAATATATTGGTCATGAGAAAAATAAGAACAAAGACTGCTGACTCAACAACCAATCACAGCAGACTTTGTTTGCGTAGGCGGATACAATTTGCAGATAGATAATCTGAACTTCAATAAACAACCACGGAGAGGAGATGAAAGATTAACGTTCAGCGAGAAACAACCACCAATCAGAAGACTGTGTTTGTCTGCTAACAATAATCTATAATAATGTACATGAAAATCTATAAATATATGTTGATTTCCTCAATAAACGATCTGCTGCCTGGCTCTTGTCTTCTGTTGTTACAGTAGTATATATGCAACAAGCATATGCTTACTTTCTCCTGATTACTATCAAGTGTATCAATCAGATCACATTTACAAAGGAAACTAACTAACTATGGTGTGTGTGTGTGTGTGTAAATTGCAAACTTTATTTTGAGTTTTGGTGTAATCCTACCATCGATTTTCCCTCATTTTAAAAAAAGAATCATAATCGCTTTTTAATTTGAGATAGGTATATCATCTCATTAATTTTCGTTTCTTCCTAAATTTTCTTTTACCCATATAATCTTTCATTTCTTTTTTTACTACAGAATACAAACTCCCACCTAGAATACATTTATGCACTCTACCGAATGAATTATTTGTAAGTTCTTGTTATATTTTTGTGGTATTTAAGTATTTTCGAAAGATATATATAAGCTATAACATTATTATTAAGTGTCAGTTCATAGGGATTTGATTTGATTGGTTGCAGAAATGACTACGAGCTAATATCAGGGAGTGCTGGACAGCTAAGTGTTTCATCCTAGTCTGAGACTCGTCATCAGTGCACACCCACTGGGGTTCGAGCCCAGAACAATTTGGTTATAGGGTCTAGCCAATGGTTCGTGAATTCCAACTACTGCCAATGCGAATCCCGGTGGGTGTGTACTAGTGAAGAGTTTCAAACTGGGACGAAACAGGTAGCTGTCGAGTACTGCCTTCAGGTTTTCCAATGGTTCTCTCTAACTGATGTCAGTTCATGATCAGCCCTGTTACACTATTATTATTACTTATACGCTTTGGATAATGAGCTTAAACATCAATATCTCTAATTCAAACATCTTTCCGTCTGTTTTGGATCGCACAAAGTGGTCGTATATGTTAAAGTTTGTACTATGGAAATGTCATGATGTCTGAGGGTTAATTTAAAGTAATTAGGTGGGTAGTGTGACTATCAGTGGCGGAATCCAGGATGCTCATTTCGTCCTATTTGAGAGTAGTGGTGTCTCCCCGCTGAGACTCGAACCCAGAACCCATCGTTTCAGACGCCAAAGCGTTATCCACTAGACCACTTGAACCAGAGAAGCCACCTATTGTTCAACGGATATCAGTGATTATTTCTTTTTCATTCAGTTGTGACTTTCCCTTGGGTTCCGAGTGGAACATAGGGCTCCCTTCAACAACACGTCTGCATTTTGTTCTGTTCTCTGCCGTCCTCTTCAGCTGGGTCCACGACTGCCCATAGTCTCTTATCTCCTCCTCACATGATCCCCTCCATGTCACCCTCACACCGACGACTCACTCGTTGCTTCCCATTGGGATTCCACTCGAGTGATGGCCTGCATTGCGCGCTATATCATTCGACGGCCTCCTCAACGTATACCCAGCCCATCCATCTCCATTTTCTCCTACATATCCACTTGTCGAGCAATCGGATCTCTCCTGTTGGTTTGCTCCCAGCCAGAGTTTCTTGTTACTGACTCTTTCTAGCCTGCTGTTTGATCTTTCCGTAAGGATCCGGTGAAGATGACAGCTGTTGGTAAAAGTTTGCAGTAGGCTGTTGGAAATGCTTTGCGTGACACGAGTGCCAATTTTCTGACCCATACAGAAGAACTAACTTTAACATTAGTGTTGAAAATCCGAATTTTCTTCTTTATGCTGCTGTGAAGTGCAGAAGATTTCCAAACTGGTTTCAGATTGACGAAGGTGTATCTTCCCTTTCCGATTGTGGCTGGTGTTGACATATTCATCCGGTTGAAACCGTGCTTACTGGGTGGATAAGTGAAGGGAAGAAGTAACCTCTGTCAAATCTCTCCTGTTAATGGTGATTGGTTGGACCAAAATGTTGGAACACTACTCGCTCACTTACTGTGGGGAATGCAGGTACATCCAGTTGATGAATATCCGAAATAGGGATGAAATATGCTTATCCTGGATTCCAAGCACTGCTAGTCACCAGTTATCTACCAAAATTACTTCAAAATGTCATGATGGCTAGAAGACATGATGTTGTTGGTCAGTGTTCGTCGATATCAGTTGTAGATATGTGATTCATTAACCCAGGCACTCAACACCACGGGTTTGAGTCCCACGCCACCTGCTTCAGCAATAAGGCAACTAACTAGTGTCATTAGCTCTCACACAATAAGTGTGGCTACAGACTTATATTGATATCTACCCCCTTCTCTTGGTCCTGAAGATCAGAAAAGACTAAATGGCTTTCTATCAGATATCAGCCAGTGGTCCAAGGAAAACGGTCTTACCTTAAACCCCTCCAAATGCCAAACAGTCAATTTCACCTTTAGGTATAAATCCAACCTAAACAAACTGGTTGGCTCTCACGAGATGTGCAACACTGATGGCACTGAAATAGAAACCAAGTCGGAAATTAAATACCTAGGCGTCATTCTATCTGCTGATCTTTCCTGGTCGTCTCATATCTTGGCGATTTCTAAGAAAATATTCCATCTTGCCTTCTACATCAGGAAGTTAAGAAATTCTGGTATAACTCAACCCTTACTCCTACAATTCGTTAACTCTCGCATTCTGCCTATTATTCTCTATTGTTCCCCCTTAGTTTTTCCCGGGCTACTGAAGAAAGACTATAACATATTACGCAGGATGTTAAAGGTTGTCAGCAGGGTAAGCAACGTGCCACTTAACCAGCTTGTTAATATTCTGGTTGACAGGCACATGGAATCATGTGAAAAATGGGCCAAATCCATTTTATCTAACTCACTCCACCCTATTCATTCACAACTCTCCCCTTGCATCTCATCAGGCAAAACCAGAAGCCTATATACAAAACTATATGCTCGCACCAGCAAGTACAAAAACTCAACCATACCCTACTTAGCTCGTGTTCTGTGCGATAAAGAAAGCATTAGGCGTGACACCTATAATTCTTTAAATAGTCAGTAGAACAACTGGACCTCGTCTTTCCAACTAATATCACTTATAGGTACATCATTTTCTTTCTCTCTTTTCCTTTTCTCTCTCTCCGTTACGTGCTGCCTTGTTTCTTTCTTTCGCTTACGCCAGTAAATATGATAGCACTTACTTTTCTAACACCTTCGCACACCGTTCAACTTTGGCTTTGCTACCAACATGCCAATATGTTGTTGTCATAATGAACTGAGATTACCAATGTTCTATGTAGAATTCTTTTTATTGATAATGTACTAACTGGATGCGATACTGTAGTAAAAATGTTGAAACTTCCATTCTGTATCACAAGTACCTTTTGGAATAAAGCAAATTATTATTATTATTATTATTATTATTATTATTATTAAGAAAGCTGACCAGAAAGGATAAGCAATAAAGAACTCCGGGCAGCAAACCAACCAGGAACCTATCGCCCAACAAATATGCTTCAGGAAATGGAGATAGATTAGACAGATGCTGCAAAGACCGTTGAGTGAAATGGTGCGCCAGATGGGTGGTCAAGTGGAATCTGAATGGTAAAACGACTAGTTTGGCATCATTTCGATAATGGCATAGAGGAGATGAGAGCTAATAATCATTCTTGAAGACTGTTCACAAAGTGATGATTTTAGTTTGAGAACCACGAGGAAACCCCTGTAGTTACTAGATAGCTATTTTGGCCTAGTTTGAGACTCTTTACCAGTGCCCGACTGCCAGTCGATTTCATCTGTGAGTGAGTATTTGTCCTCACACCCAACTTCGGTGGAACCCGCTCACCGAGACTTTGGGCGAATTGAAAATTCCAGGGTTTGATCCCTGGTGAGTGCGCGTAATTTCATGCGTGTGTACTGATGAAGAGTCATGGGCAAGGACGAAACAGCTATCGAATACTCTGAGCTGGTTTTCAATGATTCTCTAAATGAAATCAGTCCGTGCTCAATCCTTTTTGAGTTTACCTAGTGTATGTATGCTCACGTATATATGTAATTTTGCTGTTCTAATGTTTGTTACTTTTTCTTCAGAGTCAAATATTATCCTGTCTGTCATTGTCTACACTTGGTTCACTTATGTTATGTAATCATGATTTATACAATCGGATACGTGGTTGTAATACAATATGGCGTATACACTTAGCTAATTTAGATGCTAAAAAGAAGCCGATATTAGATGCAGCACTGAGTCGACAACAAAGACAATTAAGACAACTTCAAGAACAGCAACAGCAGCAGCAGCAACAACAAGGACAACCAGATGAACCAGATGCTTCAACATCTGCTGGTAATCAAGATAACAGGAATGAATTAAACATTCTAGTGAATAATGAAGAGAATGTATCTGGTTTAAGTAAAGATTGTCTTATACCACAGTATACCTGTAAGTTTTTTTCATTCTTCCCTCTTATATTTAATGTATACATTTTTATATATAAGGGAGAAAAGTCCTCATGTGATAATCATAGGGGGATCAGCCTAACGAACATAGTTTCTAAAATCCTAGGCTCAGTAATCATGCACAGACTAAGCAGAACTCGGGAGGAACAAAGGAGGGAAAATCAAGCAGTCTTTAGGCCAGGTAGAGGGTGCATAGATCATATCTTCACTCTCCGACAGATCCTAGAACATAGACACACTTTTAGGCGTCCAACAATTACCATATTTCTTGACTTGAAGGCGGCCTTCGACTCTGTGGATCGAGAGGTACTATGGCAATGTTTGACTGTGAAGGGAGTGCCAAGAAAGTACATTGCACTAATCAAGGCACTCTACTCAAACTCACGTAGCTGTGTAAGGGCTTATGGGAAATTGTCATCTGAATTGATAACAGCCAGTGGTGTCCGTCAAGGATGTCCACTTTCCCCATTTCTGTTTAACTTCATCATAGATATGCTAATGGAAGCATCCTTAACTGAACTTAACGACTTAGGAATCGACTTGTTACCAGGGGATAGTCTTATGGACTTAGTATATGCAGATGACATAGTCCTGTTAGGGGAGGATACTGACAAAATGCAGAGTCTTCTGAACACCTTGAGCAGCAATCTTCGTATGTTTGGCATGCGATTTGCCCCTGTAAAGTGGAAGATGCTGCTACAGGACTGGACTACGTCAACTCCTAGCTTAGTGATAGGGAGTGAAGTGATAGAACATGTTGACCACTTCACCTATTTGGAAAGTTGTATCAGCACCAACGGATTGATTGGTGACGAAATCTCAGCACGGATCCAAAAAGCTCGGGCTGCTTTCGCTAACTTACACCATCTCTGGCGTAGGCATGACATCCGGCTATCAACCAAGGGACACGCGTGTACTGCTCAGCAGTTCGCTCCGTCCTTCTCTATGGCTCTGAAACATGGCCAATACGAGTTGAAGACATGAAAAGGTTGACAGTTTTTGATCATAGATGTCAACGATCTCCTTCTCACGTTAGGTTGTATAATAAGGTAAGTAATGTTGACGTCAGGCGTAGAGTGTTGGGCAAAGAGGGAAAATCAATCGACGAGGCTATAAAGTTACATAGATTGAGATGGCTAGGTCACGTGCTGCCCCGACGGGCATTACTAGCTGAAATAGGTGCAGGTTGGAAAAGAGTAAGCGATGGCCAAACAAAAACATGGCACCAATCCATGAAATCCTTAACAGTTGAACTGAGTGAGGTAGGGAGATGCAGACTTCCGGGTTGGGGCCCTCGGGACTCTAAGAATCAATGACTGGAGACAATAGGTGACATGGCTCAAAATCGTTGTCAATGGCTTGTGCAGATGTATTCAGTCTCTTGTGTAATCTTTCATATTCCTTTCTACCATTACTCATTCTGTTTCACTCTTATACTTATCTAAACTCTATTGATTCTCTTCACTCATCTTCTTGTCTACCTTGTGTGCTATTTGAAACGTGGCAACTTGAACTGCTTCACATTGGTGCCTAGTTCTATGTTGAATCCAGACAGGCAGACAGTATATATAATGAAATTGGTTCCCACTGCATTAGGGCTTTGGCTGCCACTGGTAACATCATGATAGCCACTCACTGCCTCAGTGTGTTCGTGGTTGTCGTCTGGGTGACTGCAGTAGATTATTGACTCTCCCGTTGATAATGTTGTCCATCCACATCCATTCCATCTGCTTTCGCAGATACCCAGTACTTCTAAGCCATATCTTCGCATCTCTTTGGCTACCTGAGCAGCCAGTCTCGTACATTGTACGGACATTCCAAGTACTCATTCTTACTTTTGCTTTTATCGAGAGAAGGCTAATTGGCTGACTGGCTTCTCGAAGGCTTTCGCCTCTCCGATTTGAGCTAAGAATAAGATTGTTATTTGAAGTTTTTGTATTTGTAATATATATATTTTCTGTGTGTTGAAGTTTTGTCTCTAGCGGTTTGAGAGATTTATCCTGGAGAGAGAATAAAGGATGCAATGGATACAGAACTCCGCCAGCCCAACTGGAACAAGCTGGCTGGATTCAGGAAAGACAAATCATTTGCTGATCAAATTGCAATTCAACGCATTATCATCACAGAACAAAGTATAGAATGGCAGTCAAACCTCTCCCTATCTCAACTTCATCGACTTAAAAAAGACCTTCGACAGGGAGCGTTGACCGAGAAGTAATTTGGAAACTACTTCAACACTACGGTGTACCTCAAGTCTTTGTCAACGTTATTCAACAACTGGCTGGCGATATGACAATTCCACGTGTCAAGTGATCCACAACGGAAAACTCAGAGAGGAGTTCGGAGTGCATACAGGAGTAAGATAAGCGTGGTTGCCTACTATCACCAATGATATTCCTGATTGTGGTCGACTGGATTATGCGTCAGACTGTGCACAGGGAACGAGGAGTCAGGAATACGCTAGACGACCGATGAGAAGACTCTAGAAGATCTGGATTTCGCGTGTGGATAATATATGTCTAATATCACACAAACTCGAAGACTTACAAGCGAAAACCAACAAAGTGGTTGAAGTGGCAGCGAAAACAGGACTGCAGGTAGAGACAGAGAAGACGGCGGTGATGAAGATAACCAACCAACAGCAGCAACCACCATCAACGTGAGAGATTTAACAGAGGTTACTTCTTCCCTTCACTTATCCAACTAGGAAGCACGGTTTCAACCACAGGCAGTCGAAACGGATGAAGATATCAAAGGTAGCCAGCGAGAATCGGGAAGGCAAGATACGCCTTCATCAACCCAAAACCAGTTTGGAAATCTTCTGCACTGACTCAGCCAGCATAAGGAACAAGATTCGGATTTCAACACCAGTGTGAAATTGGTTCCTGTATACGGGTCAGAAACTTGGCCAGAGTGTCACAAAAAGGATTTCCAACAGCCTGTTGCAGAATTTCATCAATGGCTGCCTTCTCTCCATACCGAAGATCAAATGGCCAGAAAGAATAAGCAATAAGAAACTCTGGCTGGGAAGAAACCAACAGGCGAGCGCCGATCGCTCAACAAATATCTAGGAGAAAGTGGAGATAGATCGGGCATACGTTCAGGAGGCCACCGAATGACGTCGCGCACCAGGCCATCGCTCAAGTGGAACCTGAATGGGAAGCAATGAGTGGGTCGTTGGTGAGAGGGTGACATGGAGGAGATCGTGTGAGGAAGAGATGAGAGAGTTTGGTCAATCGTGGAGCTAGCCAGCTGAAGAGGACAGCAGAAAACAGAACAAAGTGGAGATGTGTTGTTGAAAGAGCCCTATGTTCCACTCGGAACCCAAGGGAATAATAATAATAACACACATACATGGTGAAATCCTGTAACTAATCAGATAAAAACCCTGTAAACCAACGACTTGAATATTAATCTTATGCTCACTAGTGACTGGATCTATTCAGGTGGTAGGTAGTTGCCTGGGTTCTAGTGAGAAGTCGTGACCAACTGGTTGGTTGTGTTGGGTGTGAGAACAAACACTCACCGCCGATGATATTGCCTAGTGCCAGTTGCGCTATATCGTCAATTGGTAGAAGTTAGAATTCATGGACTGGCCATTGAATCGGTTGAGTGCCAGTGGCTTTAATGGTCTGCGAGTTCGCCTTGTAACCGGAAGGTCTTGGGTTCCACCCCTGGTGAATAGTCCCAAACAAGGACGAGACAGCTGGCCGTCAGGTGCTCCCATTTGGTTTTCAAATGGTTCTCTAACCGGTGTCAGCTCATGATGAAATCTTGTAACCAATTAAATTGATTCCCTGCAAACCAACACTTACTTGAATATTCATTAAATTTATTTAATTTAACTGTAAACTTCGTTATGAATCAATATCAGTTAGAGAGATCCCTGGAAACCGGGGAGGGCTGGACAGCTTTCCCCCCGCGATTCTACCAGAAATCGATTCCAGGTTACTAGATGAGCTGTGTTGTTCACTCAGACACTTCAGCTGGATTTCAGTGATCTTTAAATTCTAACTTATGTCAGTTCGTGATATAACATTTACCCTCAACCAATGCCTTTGACAGACATTCACTTCGTCTTGACACGATGGACACCAGTAGCGAGACGACTTGTCAATACAGCTTCACAACATCTATGTAGTAGCCATGCATCACTGACCCGGAGATTGATACTTAGTTTATGGGTACTTTTGTCGGGATTTAGAATAATTTCACCAATTATAGAGGTCATTGAAAGTCAGCTAAATTGATGTTCTGAAGTCTTCATACCAAGTCTGAGTCAGTGAGAGCCATTCTGTCAAGATAAATCGGATATCTTTCTACGGCAATGGTTTGCGGTAGTATTGTATCCCGAATTGATAGAAGTCAGAATTTATAGATCGTTGGTCTTCGACTCAGTGGCTGAATGATCAACTAGCTAGCGTCGTAACCTAAAGGTATCGAAATCGATCCCTAGTGGAGTTGTGGGTGCATAAACCGCTCAATCTGTTATTTTGGAAATTGTCCGCTGGATATCTTCCTACTGAGACTTGAATCCAACGGGGAGGGAGACTATCACTTATTGAGAATTGCAGATACAACTCCAATTGATGAATCCCAGGCAGGATTCTACATACTGTTAGTCCCTTTCTACAAAATAACATGTTTATCCTCAGACATTGTCAAAGAGTTCGTACTGGGACTGAAGCGGCGACATGTCTACAGAGACTAAAAATACTTCGGTCTAATATAATCAGTCAAAATTAATCATTATAATAAAGGTTTTCTTGTATTTCCCAATGAATGAATGGAAAACAAAACGATATTGTTATTTTTACTGACGTTTCGCTATTTAATGCTGCTGCCAATAGCTTTATCAAAGTAGTATTATTAAACCAGAATTTACAAATTCCACTCAGCTTATATATAACAAAAAGTTAAGAGGTGAGAAAATATACTTAGGTCAAGAAAACATGGACCTCAACATTTATTAACAAACTACTA